CCCCAGGCCTCAGCCCCCTACCCCCAAGCCCTCATTCAGTCATAGATCTAGGGGCCTGTGAATCAATCTGTACTTCACACAAGCCCCCCTGGAGATTCTCATGCAGGTGGTTCTCAGGTGACACTTTGAGAAACACCATGGTGCTCCTTTTGTGTCTTTATCTCCTGCCCACTTCGCTGGGCTGCTATGCAGAGAAGACGATGGGACGACGTGAAAGGCTTTGAAGATCACTGCCAGGTGAAGACAGTGTCCTTGCACTGCTTCCTGTTCTCCTCTGAGCCCTCCTCACTCTCCCGCTCTGCCTTGGCTTCCAGATCTGGAGCCCTTTCTAATACTTAAAAAGAGATCAGCCGGGCATGGTGGCTCACGCCTGTAATCCCAGCACTTTGGGAGGCTGAGGCGCGATCACCTGAGGTCAGGAGTTCGAGACCAACCTGACCAACATGGTGAAACCCCGTCTCTACTAAAAATACAAAATTAGCCGGGTGTGGTGACGCATGCCTGTAATCCCAGCTACTTGGGAGGCTGAGGCAGGAGAATCGCTGGAACCTGGGAGGCGGAGGTTGCAGTGAGCCGAGATTACACCACTGCACTCCAGTCTGGGCAACAACAGTAAAACTCTATCTCAAAAAAAAAAAAAAAAAGAGATCATCACTGTCCTTTTGGCGATACACTGTCCTAAACTGCCTGGAACCCACCCCACTGTCTCACAGGAGAACCACCAGACTAGGCCACTGTCATCCAAATGGATCAGTGATGTCAGGGGCGGGGTGTGCTGGGGATACTCTCATTTTCCCTCTTTTTTTTTTTTTTTTTTTTTTGAGACAGAGTCTCACTCTGCCACCCAGGCTGGAGTGCAGTGGCACAATCTTGGCTCACTCACTGCAACCTCCACCTCCCAGGTTCAAGCAATTCTCCTGCCTCAGCCTCCCGAGTAGCTGGGATTATATGTGCCCACCACCATTCCCAGCTAACTTTTTTTGTATTTTTTTAGTAGAGACGGGGGCCTCATCATGTAGACCAGGCTGGTTTCAAACTCCTGACCTCAAGTGGTCTGCCCGCCTAGGCCTCCCAAAGTGTTGGGATTACAGGCATGAGCCACTGCGCCTGGCCTCATTCTCGTTTTCTATGCGTATCAGAAAGAATTGGGTGTGGGTTCAACACTCTTGAATTCAAGCTCACCTCAGCCACTATGTAACCTGTGCAAACCTCTTCACTTCTTTGTACCTCTTTTGGTTTCCTGTTGGGTGAGCTGTAGGTAAAGGTACCTGCTAGGTACTGCTGTTGTATTAAAAGAGACAGCACTTGTAAACTACAAGGCGGCTTGTACCCATAAGATAGGGTGGTAGGGTTGCCAGATGAAATGCAGGATCCCCAGTTCATGTTAAATTTCAGAAAAACAATAAATAACGTTTTGGATACGTCCCAAATATTACATGGGACCTACTTATACTAAAATATTATTTGTCATTTATCTGAAATTCAACATTAATTGGGCATCTTGGGTGTTTTGGTTTGTTGCATTGTTGTGTTTTGGTTTTTGCTGATTGGCTGCTGGGTATTCTGGCATCCGTTGGCCCTCCTCCCACCAGCAAGGCAGTTCCTCCTCAGTCCTCAGACTCAGATTCCCCCAGCCCCCGGACCATGGAAGGGCCTGGACGGAGGGTACCACTGGGCCTTGACAGCCTTTTCTTCCTCCCCTCTGCTGCATGCTCTGGGGCTGAGTGCTCCCCGTCAGCCCTGTGGCCACAGGGGGAGGCTCACCTGGCAGACAGTACAATGTCTGCAACTGTCACAGCTAGACAAGGTCACAGGGAGAACGCTCTGGGCTCTGTCTTGTTTATCTGGGGGACAAGGGGGCAGGGAGGCAAGGGAAAGCAAGGGCAGGCTCCTCTTTGCTCCTTCCTTCAATTTCCTCCCCTGGAAGAGGCAGAAGGCCTGCCTAGAAAGCCCCGGAACTTGTACCCTAATGGAGCCTGGTTGTCTCTGGCAGGAAGTGGGTGGTCCTCAGGGAGGCGGTGCTTTGAGCCAGGAGATCCTGGTGCACCCCCAGCTCTGGGTTTAACTCTCTGTGTGATCTAAGGCAAACTACATCACTTCTTTAGTCAAAACAGGATAATAACAACAGCACCAATTAAAACACTGATATAGTACACACTGTAAGCCAAGCACTGTTCTCGGTCCTTTATAAATAATGCCCTTTTAACCCTCCTAACAAGCCTAGAAGGTGGGTACTGTATCAGCCCCATTTTACAGGTGAGGAAACGGGTACAAAAAGATCACACAATCAGTAAGAAGTAGAGGCAGGATTTGAAGGCAAGCAGCTTGGCGCCGGTCTGGGCTCTGAGCTGTCTCTGTGAAAAGTAGAAAAAGCACAAATGCAGGAGGAGGTGGGAGGGGGCGATGAACACCTATTGAGCACCTATAGCACGCTAAGCAAGACAGTGTCCTTTACAGAGATGATCTCATTTAAATCTCACAGCAAGCACGGCAGAGGACACCGTTACCACATTCTGAATCCAGATGCAGAGAAACTGAGGCTTGGAGAGGTCAGGGACTTGCCTAGGATTATAAATCTGAGTCCAAACCTGAATGTGGGTCTCACTTCAAGGTATGTGCTGGGACCTCCACCACCCACCCTGCATCTGGCTCACAGTTTAGGAGACACTCTCGGGCCACACAGCATGGACAGTGGCAGTGAGATCAGAGCTGCTCGTGGCACTGCACCCTGCGAGGTACCCTGGAGCTGCGTCCATCCTCTCCCTACTGGCTGAGACAAAGCCACACCCCCAACCCCTGTTCCCAGGGCCCTGGACACGGCTCCTTGCTCTGAACCTGTCCATCCTTCCTCCAGTCTTTCCCATCTTAGTCCAGTTTCTTCCCCACATCACAGACAGCAGGAGGAGGAACATTTTGCTTCGATTGCTCTTGTTACTCTCACCCACATCACCTTGTTTGGATCCCGACAACCACTGGGTCGGATGGACTACACAGCATTACCCATATCCTGATTTCACTCAAAGGGAAGGTGAAGCTTTAAAAAGTGGAGTGACCCGGCCGGGCGCAGTGGCTCACGTCTGTAATCCCAGCACTTTGGGAGGCCGAGGTGGGTGGATCACAAGGTCAGGAGATCGAGACCATCTGGCTAACATAGTGAAACCCCATCTCTACTGAAAATACAAAAAATTAGTTGGGCATGGTGGCAGACGCCTGTAGTCCCAGCTACTCAGGAGGCTAAGGCAGGAGAATGGCTCGAATCCAGGAGGCAGAGCTTGCAGTGAGCCGAGATCGTGCCACTGCACTCTAACCTGAGTGACAGACCGAGACTCTGTCTAAAAAAAAAAAAAAAAAAAAAACTGGAGTGACCCACCCAGAGTCCCCCAGATTTTAGGCCAGGACTTAAACCCATGTCTTCAGACTCCAAATCCAGGGCTCTCTGGAGATCTTAGAGGTCAACTCAAGTATTCTAGAGATGAGGAAACTGAGGCCCAGAAGGGACAAGTGGCCCGTTCAAGGTCACAGCCACCACGGCAGAACTGAGACAAACCCACAGCTCCCGACTTCATAACACCTTGCCTTCACTTGGAAGACAACTGGAGCCAATAAACCAACCCAACCCACAACAGGGGTGAATGGTGCCAACCCCACTGAAAACGAAAGGCGGAAGCAAGCAGGACTGAGGTGCACCCCATGCCACCGTGAGCTCTTCATCCGGTCACTCCTGTCTCCAGGACCGAGTCTACTGGTGGGGAGGGTCTGGGGAGCCAGACAAGTGGATGAGGACACAGTTTAAAGGTGGGGACTCTGCACCCTGCAGGCCAGATTGTTTTCGGAATTTCAGCCAGCCTGGGCTGAAAGTGCTGGCTCAGGGGCCTGCCTTTGCTGAGTAGTGAGCGCCCCGAAGCGTGGGGTGTGTTTGATGACAGTTGGGAATGAAGATATGAATGCAGGAGCTCAGCACACAGATGAACAGCATCCTCGATTTCTCCATAAATGGGGGAAAAAAAGATATTCTGAAGCTAAATCTGCATGTATGTCACCTTTGATGATGTGTGCCTTGCAGCTGCGGTTCCAATTCTGCTGAAATCTTGGGAGCAAGGTGGGAGACAGAGTTCAGCTCTGAGAGGTCACTGTGGGCACTGGTGCTCACGGGGTCACAAGTGGAAGGCTGGAATCCACTTGGGGGAAGGACACCCACCTGCCACCTCACTCTGGGTACTCATCCCTGTGGATGCTGGGGTCCCCTCCTTCTCAGCTCCACCCCTGCTCCCTTCCTGTGGGCCTTAATGGGGCCCCTTAACTCCCTCTGTCCTGGTGTTCCCGTCTGCCAAGCGGGTATGTATGCCCATGCTGCCATTGGAAGGGTGCACCAGGAAAGCAAAGGGGGCACCAGCCCACTACATTTTGGTTCAGCTTTTTCACATCTGGCTGAAAAGCCACAGAGAACTACAAATCATTACTGCATCATTGGCTTTTAATGGGCTGCCATTATTCCTCATCAGAAATCTTCCTCACCCATATTAGACAGAAGAGCAAACTGGAGCTGAGAAGCTGAGAGGCCAGGTTAGGCTCAGGAGGCTGCTGGAAAGCCCATGGAACTGGCTGACTCCCCGTGCACGGTACTGAGAATAGGGCCTTTTCCCATACAGTAGGCTGCGTTCTGCTTACCAGAGACCTACAAGTAATCCACACCCACCAGTCCTAGGACCCAAAGCCCAGGGAGATGATCCGGGGCATCCCGAGAACGGGAAGGTCCCTAACTTGGGAAAGTGAGTTACTGGAGAAACAGGGGAAGAAGTCCAGCCCCGGGGGTTCAGAAACTCCAAAGAATTCCAGATGTGTTCCTCTCCACCCACTTCCTCAGCGGAGACCCAGGAAAAGTTCAGGATCCCCCAAGCCTCCTCTTCCAAACTCAACCCAAGGCTCCTCGCACCCAGACTGGGGTCTGGGGGGCCTCTCCCTGGCCCCCTCCCTCCCCCAGCCCAGCCGGCCCGGCTCACCTTTGGGCAGTTTGGATGCGTTTTCCTGGATCCAGGAGAAGAGGTGGGCGAAGTCACAGTCGCAGAGCCAGGGGTTCCCGTCCAGACGCAGGGAGCGCAGCGCGGGCAGCGCGGCCAGGGCAGCCACGCTGAGGCTGCGCAGGTTGTTGTCGTTGAGCTCCAGCACCTGCAGCGACTCCAGGGTCTCGAAGGCGGCCTCGTGCACGCCCGCCAGGTTGTTGTTAGCCAGACTAAGCTTCACCAGCCTCCCGGCCGAGCGGAAGGCGCCGGCGCCCAGCTGGGTCAGGTTGTTGTAGCTGAGGTCGAGGAATACGAGCTTGGCCGAGCCGCTGAACGTGCCCTCCTCCAGCGAGCGCAGCGAGTTGTTCCTGAAGTCCAGGTAGACCAGGTCGCCGTAGAAGATGAAGAAGTCCTCGGGGATCTGCTGGATGCGGTTGCCGGCCACCAGCAGCTTGCGCACGTCCAGGGGAAAGGGGTCGGGCACGCTGGGCAGCCCGCGGTCGCTGCAGTCCACGGTGTGCGGGTCGGTGCAGGCGCAGCCCGCGGGGCACGCGTGCCCGGGCGCGAGCAGCAGCAGGAGGCTGCAGAGCCGGAGCGCCGCGGCGGCGCAGGCTGGGGCGCGGGGGCGCATGGCCGGGGGGCCCGCGCCGGCCGCGGCGACACCGAGGCGGCTCTCGGAGCGAGTCCTGGCGCGGGGCGGCGCGAGGCGGCGCGGTGAGGCACTGGCTGCCGGGCGCCGGGAGCCGGAGGGCGGCCCGGGCGGGGAGGGCGTGCGCCCGGGCGCGCGAGGGCTATGGAGCGCGGCGCAGAAGGACTGGGGGAGCCCGGACAGTAGGGACGGAGAGGGGAGCGGGGGAGGGAGGGGCGAGGGACTCACCAAAGGATTTCCCCGGACAGGAAATTAACCCGCTAGAAAAATCCCTTGGGAGAGGCAGGAGCGGTAGGGGGGGCCGAGTGGCCGTCGCCAAAACGCAGTCCCACCCTGGCAGCTGATTTCCGAGATCGGGAAGTAAGACGCCGCGCTGCACTTGACGTCTAAGTTCAGTTACCAAGCCCAGGAGCGGTTTCCTTAAGGCGTGTCCCGGGCGTGCGCCCCGCCCCCTCGCGCCCGCCTGGTGCCAAATCACGCTCCCTGCACGCCACCCCATGTCGCTGAAGGGAGTGGGACCTGGGTCACTCTGACTCTGCTCCGGGGGCAATCCCCGCAGTCTCTCGGGTGCCGCGCCAGGGGCTGCTGGTCTGAATTTGGGCGGGGTTCCAAGGAGAGAGATAGTGGCTGGTCTTCCCTTTTCCCTCCCCCACCTGCACTTGAACCATCTTAGGCCGGAGGGTGAGTGAGACAGGTGGTTGCCAAGGCCCCCGCTGTGGCCTAAAGGAAGGCCAGGGCCAGTCAGCACTTTCATGCTGGCCCCGAACTTCTGGATGGAACTGGCATCCACGCAAGGATCAGCTGCGGGTCTGACAGGTCCAGCCGCTGAGGCTCTGAGGCCTGGAGTCACCAGGTCTGGCTTCCAAGCTGTGTGGCCTCAGACCAGTGCCTCTGCCTCTCCGAACCTGGTAGCTCCATTTGTGAAATGGGAAAGGGTAGTATATATCTCACCAGCTTTGAGGGAGGACCAAGAAGTCAATAACAAAGTTCAAAAATTATCTTCGCCTCTCTCCCCCTCAAAACCCCACCTTGGATAGCCTAGGGAGGCGGTCGGGAATGTGCCAAGGCTGAGATGAAAGGACAGTGAAGAACTGCTGATATCAGCCTCCGACACCGGCAGGAAAATTCCCTCTTCACCACCCCCATGCCAAACTCCTTTCCTTCTCATTCTAGAAACTTCTGTATGGGGAGGGGTCCCCACAGAGCTATCAAGAGATTGTCCTGCTGTTGGCTATTTTGGTCCAAATGGCCTGGAATTGACAGACTCCCACTAGACCAAAATAACCCAGGGAACAGCTGTTGGGCAGCGGGCCCCCGGAGACCCTGCCCTGGCCCCTGGCCGTGCTGGGGATTGGTGGAGCCTCGGATTCTGAAGCCATAAAGCTAAGCCCTCGGCCTTCTTCCAAAGGTACAGGCCGACTTGATGCCTCTGAGCCATGGGATGAAAGCACTGATCCACTGGGATGGAGCCAAGGGCTCAACAGATGAGCATATTTGCAGAAGCCCTGGGGAAGAGGCGGGGGAGACCCAGGGGGAAGCTTTGAGGCACCTGGAGTCCTGCAGCTCTTCCCCTACTTACATTCCAGGCCACTAAGCCAGACCTCCCTGAGTTCTCCATCTCTGTCTCCACTCTCCCAGGGTGCGCAATTTGCGGTTGCCATCCCCAGCTTCAAGGGCTCAGCTTCCCCACCCCGGTCTCATGCTCTTAAAGAGGCAGGTGCCCGGGGGAGTGGTCTGAATGCTCCCAGAGTGGATGAAAATGCTTCTGCCTACATAAATGATGCATAAATTACAGAAGAGTCACACAAAGTGCAGGCAGGTGGCAGAATAAACACATCTCCCACCCTTGCAACTCTGCAAAAGCAGCCTGAACCGAACTGTTGCACTCTGCCAATCTCAGGCTTGGCTTTGGCTGCTCCCTCCTGTACTGAGGGGAACCTATTACTGGTTTGAGCCCTTAGCATCATTGTTTCATGACACCCGCATTTGGCTGGGCTGCCATCTTGCATGTGCATGCCGTGTATCTGTATGTCTGAGTGTGTGCACGAGCCCTCTCTGCCAAGTGGTCTGGTAGGCTGGAGCACTGGCCTGTATGAATCAAGACCCTGGGTCTGCCCTGGCCCCAGAATCTTTCACAAGCCACTTGATCTCTCTGGGGACTTCTCAGCCCGGGTCCCCAGATACTATGAAGAGGAGGTCTTTTCCAAATTTAAAAAAGTCTGGTGAAAATTAGGCCTTTATCTTTGAGGAGATCTCCCGCATTAAATTCTGCAATTCTTGGCAGTGAACTTAATGGTAGCGCTAGTCCTTTTGTGCAGAACTGGCATTCATAGGTGACTTTAAGAAAAACAAAGATGGTCGGGCACGGTGGCTCAAGCCTATAATCCCAGCACTTTGGGAGGCCGAGACGGGCGGATCACAAGGTCAGGAGATCGAGACCATCCTGGCTAACACGGTGAAACCCCGTGTCTACTAAAAAATACAAAAAAAAAAACTAGCCGGGCGAGGTGGTGGGCGCCTGTAGTCCCAGCTACTCGGGAGGCTGAGGCAGGAGAATGGCGTGAACCCGGGAGGCGGAGCTTGCAGTGAGCTGAGATCCGGCCACTGCACTCCAGCCTGGGCGACAGAGCGAGACTCCGTCTCAAAAAAAAAAAAAAGAAAAAGAAAAACAAAGATGAGTTTCTACTTAATAAATGCAAGTATTTAGTTGACAACGGCTTGCAAAACAGGGGAATGCATGGTAGTAAAATATTAAGAGGGGCTCTCGGTAACAAACCTGTTGAGAAATACCACTCCTAGCCTTGATTTCCTCATCCTGAAACTAAGGAAAAAATACCTTTCTTCTTCATTTCCACAGACAACGTGACGGCCACATGGAGAAGTATTTGTATGGGAACATGATTTGAAAGGTCTCTGGAGAAATATTGCAGATAAAAGTGGCCACAAATCTTGCCATGGCAGGAATGACTTGTTTCCACGAGTGTCCCCCAAAGTTCCTTGGATCCAAATGTAAGCATTCTTTTCATTAATATCAGCAGAACTAGACATGGTTGGGCTTTGTGGGGAGCAGGGAGGTATCTCAGATTCCAGAGCTCTCATCCCTTGGGGGAAATGCAAGCTTCGCCACCTCTAATTTTTTCTCCCGACAAATAAAACAGAGCCATGACCTCAGCAAGGTCACAATATGAGTCAGTGACAGGTGCTGGAAATAGAACACAGGCATTCTGAGTCCTCACCTGCGCCACTCACCAATTCACCCACTCACCCCCTCCCCAGGAAGGGAGTCTCTTATCCTTGACAGCCAACACTGCAGGTAACAAACATTGCAGGTAACAGAGAGGAAGCTTGGGAGATTCCGCTTGTCAGCTCTGTTTCCGTATGTATTCTCAGAGTCAGCACACCTTGTAATTCCTATTCAACAGGCTCAAAGCAGGAGTGTGGCAAATACCCAAGGTATCCCTATGATTTAAAAACCTGATGTCATGCCTTCCCCAACCCCCACCCCAGCGGAATCCTCACTCCTCTCTGTGTTCTCTGAGCTACAGAGCACGTCATGTCTCACTCTCCATCCTTGTCCAATTCCCCATGAGGCTGGGCCTTGGGAAGCTATGTGCAAGGCGGTACCCAGGAAACCCCACCCTACGATGCCCGGTTGCTATAAGCAAGAAAAATTCAATAATAAGAATATCCCCCTTTGGTCACCAGACTGACATTTATATTAGCCAAAATCCTATGCCTCGAGTTATAAACAAGATGCTGCCAGTATTTTATGTGTAGAAGTTGAAGTGCAAATACCAGGTTTGAATGATGAGAGTATGGCTGGTGTTTGGTGATGTCATTTGCGTTACTGGCATGTTTCACCTCTGAGCAGCACCTGGCTGACCTGGCCAGGGAGCGTGAGGACATCCCATGGGCCCCAGGAAAGGAGACACGCTCTAGCCCTTGACTTGGGGCAGCCTGCCTCGACGGAACAGCTCCCTGCTCCACGGACACAGCTGTGTCTTTGTCACCAGCCCGTTAACTGACTGAACCCAAGCAACTCCAACTCCGTGTTCCCGTCGTACGGCCGCTGCCCTTTTTAGCTACCACCGCTAGGGGGCACCACCTGCTGCCTGCACCGCTCAAAACTGAGCGCTTCTCTCAACGCAGTTTACTCTCTGGAGCAAGCCTGGACCCACGTTTTAGAAGAAAAACTCCCGCCTCTAGTTTCGCCTCTGGCAGCAGGAAATGAATCTTCCACCAGCATAAATGGGAGCCAGGATGGTGGTAGCCGTTGGGCACATGGGTTTGAAATTAGACAGATCTTGGGCAAGTTACTTAACTTTTCTAAGCCTCAGTTTTCCCATCTAGGAAATGGGATAATACTAATGTCTACTTCACTGGGTTGTCATGAGGATGAAATGAGGTGTCTGTCAAGGCCTTAGCAGTGAAACTGACACGTAGTGGAAACACAATAAATGGTAACTGCATGATGATCTATTTATCCACATGGAGCAAATAAAGGTTTCATGTAGACGGATATTCTTCAGATAAAGAACTTACGTGTTTATTTCTCTGGAATATACTAACTAGTGATGCCCTAATATTTTAGGGTCAGTTGTAGTAACTCTCCCTGCCCTGAACCACTCTCTGCTCCAAGTGTAGCCCATTTGAGACAGACACACACCCCTACACCCCCGAGCCCTCTCCAGCTCTGGCTGACTCTGTGATCACAGTTATAGGGGAGCGGCTTCCCTCCTTCTGGCCTGCTGGCTTGGTTGGTCTGAGCATGGGCAGGCTAATGAGATGGAGGACACAGGGTCAGTCCCTCAGCCTGGCACAAGGAGACATCTGTTCTCTGCTCACAACCGGGGCTCCTAATGCTGGCCAGCCATCCAGAAAATGTGTGACCTTGAGTAGGGTTGAAGAAGGGTGGAGAGAGTTTTGCCCTGTCCCAGGAGGAGAAAAACAAGAATCCAAAGTGCCATCCTCCCATAGGTAGGAGTTGCAAGCCCTGGGAAGCCGGGGAGTCATCCCCAGTTCCTCGTTACGTGACCCTCTCTGGATCCACTGGCAAACCCCCTTTGGCTCTGCTTCTCTGCATCTCCACCACTACCTCCTGAGCCCAAACTGGCATCATCTTTTACAGCAGCCCCTGGCTGGCCAGCTGGCTCCCACTCTCGCCCATCCCCCACCCACACAATATTTAAGGAAGCCAAAGTGACCCTTTGAAAATACACATCAGATCAAGTCACCTCCCTTCTTAGACACCTCCAGTGACTTCCTGTGAGTGGCAGGCAGCCTTCTAAGATGACCCCCAATGATCCCCACCGCCAGCTATTCCTTGAGTGGAGATAGGACCTATGACTTGCTTCTAACAAATAGACTACGGCAGAGGCAATGCAGCTCAGTTCTGTGTTCAGGTTCTGTCTTGCCGGCAGACTATGTGATCTCCCTGAACAATTTGTCTCCTGCACAATTTGATGAGGAAGGCTATTCTGTTGGAGAGACCCTCATGGTGAGGAACAGGGTTGGGGGTGCTCAGATCGACAGCCCCCTGAGAAGCTGAATCCTGCCAACAACCACGGGAGCTTGAAGTGGGGCCTTCCCCAGTTGAACCCAGACAGACTACAGCCCAGCCTATACCTCGACTGCAACCTGTGACACTCCCTGAAGGAGAGGACCCAGAGAAAGCCTGCCCAGACTCCTAAAACAGTGAGCTTTGAAATGTGTTTTGTATGAAACTGCTAAAAAGGGGTAATTTGTTACACGGCAATAGCTAACTGATACGCTAAAGGAACTTGGAACAAGAGCCCACCAGATCCTGCGTGACCTGGCTCCATGTTCCTTCCCCTAACCCCCTGATTTGGGACCCCTCTTCTCTTGGTTCACCACACTCTAGGCTTTTCATACACCTAATTCCTCATGTTTGTTTCCACCACCAGACCTTTGCCCTTTGCTGTGCCCTCCACTGGCAGTGCTTCCTTCCCAGCTCCTGGCATGGTTGGTGCCATTTGGTCATTTGGGCGTTCTCAGCCCAAATGTCACCTCCCCAAACTGGCATTCACTCCTATCTTTCTCCAGTCACTCTCCCTTGTCTCCCTAAGTTGCTTCCCTTCTTTTCCTAGCTTCAACATGTTTATTACTCCCTGGCATTACCCAGCTTGCTGGTTTGATTACTTATTCACACTACCTTCCACCACTAAAATGGAACATTTATAAGGGCCAATCTTTTTATCTTTTCTTTTCTTTTTATTTGTTTATGTATTTATTTATTTATTTAGATAGGTTCTTACTCTATCGCCCAGACTGAAGTGCAGTGGGGCAGTCATGGCTCACTGCAGTCCCAACCTCCCAGGCTCAAGAGATCCTCCCACCTCAGCCTTCCAAGTAGCTGGTACTACAGGCACATGCTATCACACCTGGCTAGTTTTTGTTTGTTTTTTTTTTTTTTACTTTTTGTAGAGATGGGGGTCTCACTATGTTGCCCAGGCTGGTCTCAAACTCCTGGGCTCAAGTTATCCTCCTGCCTCAGTCTCCCAAAGTACTGAGATTACAGATGTGAACCATTGTGCCAGATCAGGCTCAATGCTTCATCCCAGTTCCTAGAATCAGCCCCAGAACACTCAAGAATTGATTAATTAACTAATTGTCACCTGTAAATGATGCCTGTCAACTAGGCTACCAGTTTCTCAGCAGCATCTCACCTAGAGAAGCTCATTCATCGTTTCTGGTAGAGCAAGGAACTTCATCCCTCCAAAGACGGCCTTGGTTTCTTTCCCTTGGAAGGAACGAGATTTGCATGGGGAGCACAAAGCACTCCAACTGTACCCCTGAAGTAGCCTGGGAGTTTGGGGCTCCCCCAAACACATATCTAGTTCCTCTTCATCAAAAGCATGCGGCACCCCATCAATGATGTCATCACGTCCACCTTTGCGCCTTTATGCATACCCTCTTCCTGGCTTGCCTCTCACCATGTTCCCAGTTTGCTTAAGGAAATTTGGCCTCCTCCAGGAAGTCCTTCTAGAATTACCCTGAACAATTCCCTGGTCCCCTTTATTCTCCATTCCAGGAGAATAAGTGCTATGCTAGGTATGGAGCACAGAGAGGGCACAGGTGTGGCCTCATGCTCAAGGAGCTCAGGACTCAAGAGGCAGCCACAAGAAGAAATAACCACTGTTTTATTAGAGTTGGGACTTAGGTTTTGGTCTCTAAAACTCGAATTCATATAGTGTTATTAAGTGTATCAAAATAGAAGCTGTACATTTGGATAGAGTCAGAGCTAAAAACATTGGCCCTTGAGCCAGTTAGCCCATATTCAGATCCCGGTTCCATCCTTTCTGAGCTGCTGTTCTTCTGCAAGTGAAGTCATCGCCATAAACCTTTCATCTGTAAAACGGGGACTCACCGTATCTACCTCATAGGGTTATTGTGAAGATTCAATGAGATAATAGACAAATTAGCATTTGGCACAGCACCTGTGGGATTCTCAATACCTAGTATCATCTGAAGGTGGGAACATTCTCATCCATTTGGATACCTCCAGCAAAAAAAACTTCTCTTGCCTTCTTAATATTCCAAAGGAAGGCATTCAACTGGGTCCCCAGGAGACAAAGATAGAGTAGACAGCCTCAGTTCTCAGGTGACTCACAACCTCCTTGAAGAGACAGGCCACACACAGCAAGGACTTGTTCTGTACAGTAACTGCCAAACAAGTACTGTGGGTTAATAAATGTCACAGGCATTTGGAGGAGTCAGGGATGTCTGGGCCAGGATGATTGGAGAAAGCCACATCTTGACATAGCAGATCGTATTTTCCGAATCAGATCTCGGAGCATACGGCCATGCAGCTTCATGCTTCTCTACCCCGGCACACAGGGTTCCCTGCCAGTCCACTTGGCAGGCCCCTGCTCACTCTCAAAAATGCCTTGCATTCCTCTGTAAGGCCTTGACCTTCCCAGGTACAGCCAAATTGCTTCCTCCCTTGTATCTTTCCTCCGTTGTGTTACTGTCCCTTGCATGCAGTGTGGTATCTATTGATAACGTATTTCTGTCCTTTCCTGGATTATTACTCGGCTCTAGTATGAGAAAGAACAGGTCCTCCTGAACAAAGACTATGTCTTCTCCGTGTTTATATCCGGGAACCCAGCATAGGACACCACACAGGGCAGGTGCTCAAGGCATCTTTGCCAAATGAATGAATGAGCGCATGTGTGACAAGCAAATACCTCTGCCATGTGGAATGATCGGTAGACAAAGCATTTGAGGTCAGGATTGCCTTGGAAGGCTCTAGAGGCGCAGGTCTCTGTGATGCTGCTGCTGTGATGATCTGTTTAACCCCACAAATACCGCAGAAGGTGGCCTCGGGACTTCCCCTCCTTGCTCATGATCTCCCCTCCTGATAATAACGATGGTGACCTGAGCACTGTCACAGCCATATGCAACACTGCAGAGACCCCTCACACCCATGCTCTCAAGTGAACCTCAGAGCAGCTGTGTCGGGGGCTGGTCGGCCCGCATCTTTGTGCCCATTTTACAAAAACCGCTGGTGGGTGGCTGGTTACTCACCCTTTGGCAGCTGAGTAGCCCTAAGGATACCTGACATTTCAAACCCAAAGGCAAGTTTCCTGTACTCCTTTTGCTGCCCTTGGGGCCTACCGCATAGGGTTATCTAATGATGGGAGGTTATTAGGGGGCTGTTGATCGCATGGACTGACTGATTAGAGGTAGGGCCTCAGAGCCTGGAATTTTACATTTTATTTTGGATCAATAAAAATTTGACAGCTGAAACACTGCTCAGCAAACATATCTGATTGCTGAGCAGTATTTCCGCTGTCATGACTGGCTGCTGAGCGGTATTTCCGCTGTCATGCTGGCTGCTGAGCAGTATTTCTGCTGTCATGACTGGCCTCCCCTGCCCTCCCCTGGCCCATTCTGCAGACGTGAGCACACACTCACGTGCACGCACCTCCCTCCTTCCAGGTAAGTCTTGCTGAGACAGCAGAATAGAAAATGGCATAATCCAAAGGTAGAATGGTATAAAGCCACCAGAATTCTCTCTAGTACCTGCGGAGGCACACACACAAGGCTGTTTTATATAAATTTGTGTGCAATTTGCATACATTTGCATATGCTCCCAAAGCTATCTCATTGAGTTCTTGAAACAAGTGACAGGTAAAGCCACTCCACCTACACCAGCCAATGGCAGAAGAAGAGACACATTTGCCATCCAGGCAGCCATGACTTCTTCTACCCTTTAAGTTATTCTAAATTAGCATAAAATCACTGTTAAGTATTGATATTACTGAAGATCCCAAAGGCTGGAGAAAACATGACATGGATGCAATCATAAGAATAGTGCTGCCAGGCATGGGGGGCACCTGTAATTCCAGCACTTTGGGAGGCCGAGGTGGGCGGATCATGAGGTCAAGAGATTGAGACCATCCTGGCTAACATAGTGAAACCCCCTCTCTACTAAAAATGCAAAAAAAAAAAAAAAAAATTATCCGGGAGTGGTGGTAGGTGCTTGTGGTCCCAGCT